ATTGAGAGTGAGGTTTTTTGCTGGCTGGTGTGGCTCAGTGGATTGAGCACTGAGCTGCAAACCACAGGGTCACTGGTTCGATTCCCAGTCAGGGAGCATGGCTGGGTTGTGGGCCGGGTCCCCATGGGGGGGGGGCGTGTGAGAGGCAACCACATATTAATATGTCTGTACCTCTCTTTCTCCTTCCCTTTCCCCCTGTCTAAAAATAAATAAATAAAATGTTAAATAAAAAGATTTTTTTTTTTAAAAGAGTGAGGTCTGGAGCAAATCGCAGATGTACAAGTTTTCTCTGGGCCTCAGTCTTCCCATCTGCAAAATGGGAATTAGGACACTGGCTCTCGGGAGAAGGAGAGAACCCGGGGGGACCGGGCTGGCTCCCAGCGACCTGCCCCTGTCGTGAAAGGTCCTAATTATTACCATTCCTCACGCTGACCTCGCCCTCCTGGGCACCTGCTTCCCGGCGGGTAGAATTAGAGAAGGAGGAAGGAAGGACGACTGAGCAAACCCTGACTCAGCAGAGCCCCGTCCAGCCCCTGCCCAGGCAGCGCCCCCCGCGCCCATTGCTCAGATTCACAGCCCTGGCAGCCTCTGTGCCCGCGGGTCCCAGCCGGTGAGCGACTCAGGTGGGACAGGAACTCAGGGTTGCCTGCCTGCGCGCTGCGCGACCGCGTCCTGGCTGTTCTCACTTCCCCGACCCCTATACAGGGCCACCGGACATGCACCTGCCCTCCCCACCCTTCCCCCTCGCCCCCCAGACCCTACAGAGTCTGTGGGAAGCAAACACATCTTCCCTTCACTCCCCAAACCTGCCTCCCTGGGGTGGGGGTGGGGCGAGGGGGAAGGGGGGGCTGTGAATGTCTCGTTCCAATTGTCACCTAAACGCCGTATTTACTACTGGCTGCCCCGAACCCCTCCTCTCTGCTGGCCCGAATTCCACCCAGACCACTGGGGCCAATGCCCTGCTCCGTATTTATGGCTTAAAATCTTTTTATTAGCGCCCTCCTTCCCCTTGGAAAAAGCAGGGCTGTGGCCATAAAATTATTCGAGCGCTGCTCAGCTCTCCCGCGGGAAGGGGAGGCTGGGGCTGGTAAAACCACCGGGGCCCTCAGCCAATCGGAGGCCAGGATCAGACCGGGCCTGCACGTGGACTCGGAGATCAAAGGGCCGGGGGAGGAGCAACAACACAGGTCCAAACGCCAGCTTGGCTTCTTTCTGGCCTTGACCGTCTCCAGAGGGGCCGATCCAGGCACAGTCCAAGGCTCAGATTCTCCCAGGAAATACAGAAGGGCTCACTCTCGGGGAGCCACCTAAGCCTGGTACCTGGGTAGGGGCTGCCTCCCTGCCTCTCCCTCATCTTGCTCACCTTCTAATTCCTTCCACACCTGTCCATCCGGTCTGGGGTGTGACAGAGTCACCCTGCCTCAGTTCAAATCCCTGCTCCACCCAACTTGGCAGCTGTGTGACCTTGGGTCAGTCACTCAACCTCTCTGGGCCTCAGCCATCAATGGGATGCTAATAGTTATCTCCAAAGGCTGTGGTGAGGACCAAATGAGGGAATGGGTGGAAAGTACTCCGCACAGCGAACACTTCAAAAGTTCTCCAGAGATTAGTGTCCCCGGGGCTTGTCATCCCAGTGGCTGTCCACCCTGCACACTGACCCCTTGTGTGCGTCCCGCCTACCTCTTGCTTCTAACTTTTTCCTCTTCCGATTTTCATTTCGCCCTTATTCTCCCTTTTTAGTCCCCTGCATATATATACAAGGCGCAGGGAACACATAAAATTTATAAAGCGTAACTGATAACAAACCCTGTGAACTAGAACATTCTGAGCAATGTGTCTCGCTGGTGTCTCTGGGCCCTTCCTCGGCCCCGGGGGTGTTCTCCACACAGCCTCTCTCCCAAATTAAATCCTTGTCGGTTGCTTGAGGGTTTTTTTTTCTTTTTAAATTTAAATTTAAATTTTTCATTTTAGAGAGAAGGAAAAGGAGAAAGAGAGGGAGACAGACGTCGGTGCGTGAAACATCAAGCGGTTGCCTTCCATACGCGCCCCAACAGGGAATTGAACCAGCGACTCTTTCGTTTGCAGGACGAGCCCAACCAACTGAGCCACACCATCCGGGGCAGTTGCTTGGTTTGGGGGGACAGTTTTCTCACCTAGGCCTGTACCCCCTACACAGTATGTTGCTTAGCTCTTTTTGTCGGAGGAGGATGGAGACTTATAAATGGAGCCGGGCCCCAAATAGTGCCTTCCGCTTGACATTAAGACTCACGCATGTCACGCCCTGGCAGGGTGGCTCAGTTGGTTGGAGCGTTGTCTGGTGCACCCAAAGGTTGAGGGTTCAATCCCAGGTCAGGGCACATGCCTGGATTGTGGGTTGGATCCCCGGATGGGCTGTGTCCGGGAGCCAACCAGTCAGTGAGTGTTTCCCTCCCTCTGTCTCTATAAACCAATAAGCGTATCTTGAGTGAGGATTTAAAAAAAAATCACTCTTGTCTCTGCTGTGTGATAGTGGTCTCCCTGGAAATTTTCTGTTGCCCGGTCCATCCCCTCCTCATCCTCCCGTGAGCCCTGCCCTTCCTCACCTGTCAGCTCCTCCTGACTAATCCTTCTGAAAGCTCCAGCTGAAAGGTTGCCTCATCTCACGTCCTCTCATTCCTTGGCATTATTCTCGTTGACGTCACAGGCTCCCTGCAGCCGAGGACCGCGGAGGCGGTCCCCACGCTGTCCCTGTCTGTGAGCAGGTCAACATTTGGGTGCCACGGGGTGGGCGTGAAACTGGAAGCGTGATCAGGGACCGACCTATGGTGGCCGAGAGTCTTATGCTGTGTGAGCAATTTGGAGAGAGGTCCTCCCGGGCAAAGGGCACGTCAGGTGCAAAGGCCCAGGGGTGGCTGGCCCGGGCTGGAGGGACTGTGGAAGCAGCTGGATGGGGCCCAGGGAGTGAGGAGAATGGGGGCTGTGGGAGCAGAGAGGCGAGGCCCCAGAAGCAGCAAGGCAAGTGGCGGGACCCCGTTTTAAACGAGAGGAGCTCCGCCATGATATCCGTGACGAAGTTCTGTTTGGGAACAAGATTTCTCTTGCCCACAGGTATCTGTGTCTGACAGGTGTTTTGGAAACCACCACCAAAGCGGGTGCTGGGGAGCCCCAGAAGGGACTTGAGCTGGGGATGGCCAGGGATAGAGTTAGAGATTAGAAGAGACTTCTCTGGGAATGCTGGCAGAAGGGCAACGGACGTGCAAAGGCACTGGGGCAGGGAATGCGGAGGCGCGGCCGGGACATTTGAGGTCATGGGCCAGATGGAATGCAGGCGAGGGAGAAGGCTGAGCTGGGAGGCCAGAGCGCCGGGGCCTGGAGTCGCTTTGGGACTGGCAGGAGGGGAGGGGCGGCTCGGGGAAGAACTGGGGGCGGGAGGCCAGGGCGAGGCTCCAAGGGCCAAGAATGGAGAGAGGCAGGTTACAGGAGAGTGGGGTTGGGCAGTGACAGGCTGTGGGAGGGAGAGGAAGGAAGGGACAAGGACTGTGCCCAGGGGTCTGCCCTGGTGACTGACGGGCCGGTTCCCGAGAGCAGGAGACAGAGGGATGCAGGGGGAGGCCCCAGAAGGCAAGTTCAAGGGCCCTGATGAGAGGCACCCTTCTGGGTCCAGGGGCTTCCAGAAACTCATGGAAGAGCAAGTCTGAAACCCTAAGGACCGCACCCAGGGGGCAGCAGATGTTCAGGGCTAGAAGGGTCTTATGGATGAGAGTTATTTACCCCTATTTTTCAGATGAGGAAATAGAAGCTGAGACCTCCCTACAGGTGGGAATCCAGGGAGGGGCCCAGCTACCTCTGGAGCGAGAAACTGTGGAACCCTATGAGGTCCGGAGAAGAGGACGCTAGGACCTTCCTCCAGCAGAGCTGGGGACCAGCCTGGGGGCCACTCCCAGCTGGGGAGGCCCAGAGACACTGTGAGGCTTGTCTACGCCACACAGCAATTAGATAGAGTTCAGCTGCTGAGTCCCGGGCACCAGCGGGGCCTCTCTGAGCCCCAGCACCGGGCTGAGGGCGGCCCGAAGCAGTAGTAAGTCCCAAGGTGGCGGGAGGGGCCCAGAAGGCCAGTGGGAGACCCTCACCTGGCAGAGTGTGGGATATTGGCAGTTGGATGGAGATCATCTAAGCGGCTTGCTGTGTGACCTTGCTCAGGCCGCCTGCCCTCTCTGAACCTCTCTTCGTTTGCCCAGTTGGAAAATGGAGCCAAGGAGAAAGGGTATTACCCAGGCTGTTGAGGGGAGGAGAAAACACAGACTCTAGGGTCAGAGGGACTGTGTTCAAATTTGCTTCTGGCTGTGTCATCACAGTCACTACTGTCTCTTTCAGCCTCAGTTTCCTCATCTGGAAAGTGGGCATGAGAGAAGTGTTTCACTCACCCCCAGGAATGAAGGAGTCAGGCGCACAAGGTGGGGAGTGCTCTGTCCTAACCTCTCCTAGGAGGGACCATCTTCCGGCCCCTGGCTCCCAGCACACAGCCTCGCAGGCAGCGAGGGACGCAGCTGCATCCCGAGCCCCGCCCACCTCTGCTCTCCCGTCCTCCCCTGCAGGGAGCCGGCGGTGCACTCCGAGCCCCCGAGAGGGAAGGCTCCCTGATGGGAGGGCTCATGGAGGTGTCCAGGGAGGAAAGGAGCAGAGCAGGTCCTCACGTTTCCTGAACAACTACTGAGCAAACCCTCCGCTCGCATCCAGCCCCGCATCAGGGAGATGGGTGGCTTGTGGGCCCCTTTGACAGACAGAGGAACTGAGGCCCCAAGGAGGACGCGGACACTCCGGGCATCCCAGTTGGTGACTCGGGACAGCCCAGGTCTCCCAACTCCCTTGAAGGAGGCACCTGTACCCCAGAGTGGATGAGCCGGCCCGGCAGAGCCAGCCAAGTCCTCCCGGTCTGAAACTGCAGGAGGCCGGGCCAGCTTTGCAGAGGCCCCTGGCTCTTCCCCCAAACCACCTCCCAGGTCGGGTGGGGGGTACCTTACCTGATTTCTGAGATGTCCTTTTCTTCGGTGTCCCACAGGGCCTGGGTCTGGGGCTCGGCAGGCCCGTCCATGGCAGGCCAGCAAGGCTGGGGAGGGGAGGGCGTGCAGGGAGCAGACAGCGAGGGCTCGGGGATCCGGTGTGAGTGGCAGCGGCGTCTGCCACCCGGGGGAACCCGCCAGGTGCCTACCTCCACGCCCAAGGGGAGGGGCAGCACCCAGCCGGTTCTCCCAGCTGCTACCCACGCCTCCAACCGTGGGGAGCGGCCGGGAGGGAGCCACCCATCTCCGAGAGTGGGGGGAAGGGGAGGTGGGCAGTGCTAGGCATCTGGGGAGCTCCAGGGGCAGCGTCCAGGGGCTTGATGACCACCCTGCACCACGGCTTTTCCGGCCGCTGGCCCTGGGCTAGTCTGGGCCTAGCTGGAGCCTGCGTTTGTTCATCTGGCGAAGGAGCTAACTCGTCTCAGAGAGTTCATTCATTCAGTCATTCATTCACCCCTTGATTAACTCAAGAAATATTTATCGCATGCACCCTGTCTGCCAGATGCCTTTCTGAGCACTGGGACGCGGCCGGGAAGCCAGCTGGCAGGGGCTGCCCTCGTGGGCTGACCCCGTGAGGGACCCTGGGAGAACCAGACTGAGACAGAGGGAGACACGGCCAGGGCCACCGTGGCAGCGACGAGAGACCGAGGGAGGCAGAGACGCTCAGATAGTCAGAGACGGTGAGAAACTCAGAGAGACAGAGAGAGTGAGAGAGCGAGGAGCAGATGGGAAAACAAGCGGGTCACAGGGAGGGAGAGACAGGGAGACACAGAGGCACCAAGAGGTGCCGGGGGGACGCCAGACGTGGCTGGTGGCTGGGGGGCGGGAGCCTGAGGACCAGAACGCCTGCTGGGGACCCCGGCTCCAGTGCCTGCCAGCTCTGGAGCCTGGAACCCGTCCCATCGGCCCCTTGTGCCTCAGTTTCCCCAGCCGTGATGACCAAGTGGAACATCTCACAAGCGGCAGGCTCAGGAGAGCCAGCGTCTCTGTCTGTTCTGTCCCCCCAAAACCCGGCTGCCCCCCAACTCTCAGAGACCTGGAGCTGGGTCACGACGACCAAGTTCCTCACCAAAAGTGACTTCTTTTTATGGGACAAAAGGAGTGTGTATACCTTGTTCTTTTTTAATTGTCTGGGCAGATAAGTCTAGAGAGAAAGGAAGGGTCTCTGAGACCCTCCTTCTACCCACAGAGGTGACCATCATTAATGAACATGTTGGTGGGTACTTTCTAGAAATTTCTCCTAATTTTTCCCTGTAATTTGGGTGGAATGAATGAAAACAAACATCACTATTTAAAATCCTACTCATCGACCAATCATAGTTTGCCACATGTCGCTGCGGGGTGAGGTAGGTGGGGTGTGTCAGACTCACGTAACAGATGCAGAAGGGGGCTCAGAGAGGCAGGGTGACTTGCCCAAGGTCACACAGCATTGCCCACCCTCACTCTGAGGGCGGGCAGAGACGATGGCCTTCCTGGGGTGCCTCAACCCCCCAGTTTGTCTGCCTGAAGGCCCATCTCTAAGTTCAGTGGTTCGGGGACCCTTCCCCCCACCACCTCATCACGCACAATCGAGTGGGAGTCCTGCCTCAGCTCCTCTCAGTATTAACTTCTGTGTTTTCATCCTGAAAAGGGCTTCCTTGCAGGGAGGAGGAAAATCAAGAGGGCCAGCCATCCCTGTCTCGGGCTGAGTGGGCCTCCCTGATGTCGGGATGCTGGGGGCTGGGCAGGGACACTTCGCCTGGCCCTGGGGCCTGGGCCACCTCACCCTTGTTCCGCTTTAAAGGCCCTCTGGCCCTGGCTGGTGTGGCTCAGTGGATTGAGCACCGGCCTGCCGACTGAAGGGTCGCTGGTTTCAGTCCCAGTCAGGGCACATGCCAGGGTTGCGGGCCAGGTCCCCAGTAGGGGGCGCATGAGAGGCAACCACACATTGATGTTTCTCTCTCTCCTTTTTCCTCCTTTCCCCCCTCTCTAAAAATTAAAAAACAAAAAAAGGAAAGAAAAGCAAAAAACTCCTTCCTTCCTGGCTCTGAGGAGGTGACAGCTCTGTCCCGTCCCTCCCACTGGAACCTCTGCCACCAAACTCTGTCACCAGGCCCCCCACCCCAGCGTTGCCAGACCCAGAGGGGAAGGGCTCTGTGCGAGGCAGGCACCTCCCAGCTCTGGACGACGGAAGGGAGAGTCTGAGGGGAACAGAACGTCCAGGTCCCCGAGGGAGGCTGGACAGGAGAGGTGGGGGGCAGTCCTGGGGGACAAAGAAATCCGAGGGGTCCCGTGAGAGTGTGGAGGAGGATGCTGAAGGGAAGACATGAGCCTGGTGGCTGTGAGTGGAACAGGCCCTGCCAAACAAGGGGACCTGGGGACCCAGGAACCGTTCCCACCTCCGGCCTCTGCGCCTGCCCCCTGGCACACGCTTCCCCAGACCCCGGGGAGCTTCCTGGGGCCTGCCCGTCGCACCCCTCTGAGCTCTCCCGCCTCCCGCTGGGCTTTTCTCTGCAGCCCTCATCACCACGGGCACCCTCAGTGTCTCCCTTCTTGGCCTTGCTGACCGCCTCCTCATCGGGCAGTCAACCCCACGAGGACAGGGCTTGTGAGACGTTTGTCCCCTGTTGTATCTGAAGAGAAGTGCCGGGCAGAGATCCCAGGATGCCGTGGATGTTCAGTCCCCGCTGCTGATGGGGAACCGGTGAGTGGCGGGGGGGGGGGGGAGGAGCCAGGTCTCTTAGGAAAGTGGGGGTGAGCAGGGGGTTCGGGGGGAGATGGAAAGCCTGGCAGCTGAGGGCAAGGGGCTCAGCAGGAAGAAGACGAAGACCCCGGAACAGCGTGTTAATGACGGGAGGGGAGGAGTCATGGGGACCAGTGACTCCACAGAAAGGGAATGGGGGGTTGAGGCATCTGTAGGCCAGGGAAGAGACTTGGACGGAAATGGGAAGAAAAAAGTGGGACACCCAGTGCCAGCTGGGTGGCGGGGACACGAGGAGGAGCAGCGATTGTCCATCCATCCATCCTTCCATCCATCCATCTATTCATTCATCATCCCCCATCCATCCATTCCATTCCTCCCTCCTTCCTTCCCTCCTTCCATCTACCCACCCATCATTCATTCATTCATCCATCCATCCGTCCATCTATCCATCATCTATCCCTCTGACTAATATCTGGGGTGGGGGGCGCTTCTCTGGGTCAGGACCCGGCACCGTGTCCCCAAATCAGACAGGGAAGTAAACACGGCTTAGAGCTGTGCCGTCCTGTCCTACACGGGAGCCACTGACCACATGGCTATTGACCACTGGGAACGCGGCACACACAGGTGACTGAAGACGTGAACGTTTCCAATTCTATTTTACTTTAATTGGTTTACATTTCACTTTAAGAAAAGAAACAGTATAAAATACCTCCCTTTGGTAAGAGTGCCAGAACCGAGCATGGAAATTGAGATACAGCCTGGAAAAGTATCTCCTGAGTCATTTTTATACAGATTACATATTCAAACGATGATATTTTGGACATGCTGGATTAAATAAAGCATGTATGGAAAGTCAATCTCGCCATCAGGTGAGTAAAAAGTAAAAGAGCCACTTTATAATTTTTTTAAAAATGGAAGATTAGGATAACAACCCGTGGCTAAGTGCTAGCTGATTGGCTGCAGGCCTGGGGTCAATCCAGCCGCTTGGTGTCCTGCCCGTGGACCCCCAGTCCTTTGGAGGTCACAGGCAAGGACGCCCTGGCGGGGAAACTCACGGGGTGAGGGACCCGAGTGGCGAAAGCATCCTGGGGGAGGGCCTGACCCAGGCCGCGGCCTAGAAGCCAGAGAGACCGCTGGGAGGTTCTCCAGGCCGGAGAGGGGGCATCTGGAGATTAGGGGGGGCATCCTGGGGTCCGGGGTGGGAGCTCTCACCGGTCCCTGGGGGTTTTAGGGTAGCACAGAGAAGTGCCACATGGGGCTAGGACACGCCCTCTGCCCCAGTAAGATATTGCCAGTGAAGCCCCTGGGAAGACTGATAGTGTCGCCCTGACAACCGGCAGCTCCTCAACCCTCAGGGACTGGATGGGAAAGGAGGGCGGGAAGCCCTCTCCCGCCAGGGTGAGGGCAGAGAGCAGGAGTGGGGGGCTCTGAAGCACACCCCCAGGCTCGGCGCCCCCAGCAACTCCTCGGCCTCTGTCTAGGAACCCATCTGGGCCCTGGGGAGCCCCCAGGACCAGATATTTTCCTCTCCGAGCTTAGTTAGACAGGGGTGAAGGGAGGTCACTGGGTCACGAGGTCATGTTTCCCCAGAATCGGGGCCATGGTCACCTCTAGAGTTCGACCTTTTTATTAAAAGCTAGTCATTGCGAGGAATTCTGGGAGAGCTGAGGACAGGCCAGCTGTGGCTGCTCAGAGGCCGGGATCCCGAGAAGGCAGAGATGGGCGGGTGGGGGAGGGCAGGGCTCCCCAAATCTGGAGCCGGATCAAGGAATCTGAAGTCAGGGGAGAGCTGGTGCGGGTGCTGGAACTGGGGGCCTGGACCCCTGGGTCTGAGGAAAGAGGGGATGGTGGCCAGGATGCCTGGGTCTGAGGGAGGAGGGGGTGGTGGCCAAGAATCCTGTGACCCAGACATAGGTGAAACTGGGACACCTAGACAAATGGACCTGGACAAGGGCGGGTCAAGGGTGGGGGACGCCAGTGTCCCCATGGCGCCCTACCGCCCCTTTGGGAGGGAAACAAAGACTCCGTGGGTAGGGTGGGAGGAGGGGAGCGAACATCTCAAATCCCGCAGGACTCCCATCCCCCAGCCTTCCCCTCTAATCTGTGGGTCCATCTTGGGGTGTGCATCTCGCAGAAACCTCCTTCTCTGCTCTCCACCCCATTACTCCATCCGGACCGAGGAGCCCGCCCCGGGGCCGATACTGTGGCCCAGCTCCACCCACACACTCGCACGGGCCGCCCCGCCCACCCTGCTCCGGAGCTGGGCCGGGCGGGTCTCCTCTTGGGCAGCGAATGGCTGGGGACCCTGACCCCAGGATCGGAGGTGGACAGAGCCCGTCGAGGGATGCTGGTGGTGGTGGGAAACCTGAGGACCTGGGTCCTCACCAGCTGCCTGGTCCCAAAGCAGGAAGAGAGATTCAGGTACCGAGACAGGGCTCCCCAGAGGTAAAGCCTGAGACCAGGACTCCCGGGTCCGAGGGGAAAGTTGGGAGTGAGGGTCGTGTTTCTCGTCGCTGGTTCTGGGATGGACAGAGTCAGGTGAGGTTTGGGGGGAGGGTGTTGGGTGTGGGGGTCTCGGTCCACAGGGTTCAAAGGAACCGCCCTGCCCCGCGTCTTCCGGTTGTCCCGGGCGCTCCCAGGAACATCCTCACCTGTCCCCAGCGCTTTCCTCTGCCAAGATGCCAGGACCTGCCAAACCCGCTGTTCCAGTCGGACATTCCTGTGAGCCCCCTCCCCCACCCCCCGACCTTCCTTCCCTCCGCAGTGGCTCCAGGGAGGCCTGGGCCCAGCCCCGAGGGCGGTGAGCAGGTGGGCGGGAAGGGCAGGCTCAGGAGGGAGAACAGGACGCCCCAATCCCTGCTTCATCCTCCCTGCTCCCGCCTCCCACCGGCCCCGCTCTTCCCTGCGCCTTCCGCCCTCCGCCCGCCGGCCTGACGTGAGCCAGGGGTGCCGCCCCACTTCCTTCTGGGGCTGCCCCTTCCTCCTTGGCCCCCAGGCCCCCCAAACCGGCTCTACCAAACATACATCCTGTCCTGCCTGCTCCTTGTGTTTCATTCATTCATTCATTCATTTCATTCATTCACTCATTCATTCGGCAACTCAATGGAACACTGACTAGCGTCTGTTCAGGGCCAGGCGCTGCCCCAGGCACTGGGGAAACCGCCCTGAGCAAATAAGGAGGATGTATTGCAAGGCTTGGAGGACGATCCCTCCCAAAGGTGTCTTCGAAACGATCTTGAAACCTGTGAACGTGTGAGCTCCCATGGCAAAGGGGACCTTGCAGATCCCGAGATGGGAGGTACCCATGGGTTATCTGGGTGGGCTCAGTGCCATCTCAGGGGTCCTTAGAAGGAAAACAGGGAGGCAGGAGGGTCCAAGTGAGAGAGGGAGAAATGAGAATGGACACGGAGGGTCAGTGTTAGATTTGACGACGTCCCGCTACTGGCTTTGGAGATGGAGGGGCCATGAGCCATGGAACACAGGCAGGCAGCGTCTGAAAACTGGAAAAGGCCAGAACACATTGATTTTAACCCTGTAAGAACCACTTTAGCCCTGGCTGGTGTAGCTCAGTGGATTGACCATGAGCTTTCGAACCAAAGGACTGTGGTTCGATTCCCAGTCAGGGCACATGCTTAGGTTGCAGGCCAGTTCCCAGCAGGGGACGCACGAGAGGCAACCATACATTGATATTTCTCTCCCTCTCTCCTTCCCTCCCCCTCTAAAGATAAATAAACAAAATCTTTAAAAAAGTAATAAAAAAGAACCATTTTAGATCTCTGACCTCCAGAACCGTAAGATAATGCATTTGTGTTGTTTCAAACCAGTGGCTAAATCAGTGGCCTTTTTACAGCGGCCACAGGAAGCTAAAAGTAACGAAGAAGGTGACAGGCAGTTAAAACCCACATCACTGGCAAGGAGCGACAAGTACTAGGAAGAAGACTTAAGTCGGGAAGGGCCTGCAAGAGCCCCAGGGGCTCTTCTAGGCGGGTGGTCAGGGCAGGCTTCTTGGAGGAGGTGGCATTTTGCAGAGGCCTGGAGGAGGGGAGGGAGTGAGCCCGGTGGAGATGGTGGAAGAGGGTTGCAGAGGGAGGAGCCAGTGCAGAGGGGCCCTGTGCTGGGCACGTGCCCGGTGCGATGGAGGAGCCGGAGGTGGCCAGTGTACTTGGAGCATAGCGTGCAAGGGGCAGCTGCTTGTCCATATGGCACCTCTGTGTCCATTAGAAAAGACCCGCTTGCCCTGGCTGATGTGGCTCAGTGGATTGAGTGCCAGGCTGCATGCAAACCAAAGGGTCACTGGTTCGATTCCCAGTTACAGCACATGCCTGGGTTGCAAGTCAGGTCCCCAGTAGGGGGCACTCGAGAGGCAACCACACATTTAATGTTTCTCTCCCTCTCTTTCTCCTTCCCTTCCCCTGTCTCTAAAAATAAAATTTCAAAAATCTTTTAAAAGAAAAAAGGAAGACTTTATTTCCTCCAGTGAGTTTTTTGTTTTTTGGTTTTTGGTTTTTTTAATTTATTTTTAGAGAGAGGGGAAGGGAAGGAGAAAGAGTGGGAGAGAAATATCAATGTATGGTTGCCTCTCGTGAGTCCCCTGCTGGGAACTGGCCTGCAACCCAGGCATGTGCCCTGACTGGGAATCGAACCGCGATACTCTGGTTCACAGGCCCCAGTGAGTTTTTTTTAAAGGCATGAGAATATTTTTTTAAATTCTCACTCAAAGATATGATTTTTTGGCTTTAAAAATATGTTTACTGATTTGAGAGAGACATCGATGGGTTGCCTCCCATACATGCCTGACCAGGAATTGAACCCCCAACCTTTTGGTGTATGGGACGATGCTCAAACCAACTGAGCCACAATGGCCAGGGCTGGCTTTTTATAATTAAATTAAATTAAATTAAAATTTTTTATTGATTTGAGAGGGAGAAAGAAAAACGTCAATGTGCCCCACTTGGGGATTGAACCCACAACCTTTTGGTGTGTGGGACAAAGCTCCAACCAACTGAGCCACCCTATTATCAAACGGCCTTAATGATGGCGTGTAAATACCCCACCAGGGGAGAGACGGAGACGGGGTGGGGGACTGGGAGACTGGGGGCAGGCACGGAGTTGAACTGTAATTTTAAACCAAGGTGGCGACATCGGAGAAAGCACCAAGGCCGGTGAGAGCAGGAAGGACAAGGTCCAGGAGGTGGGACGGTGTCTTTTAGCCAGCGGATTAGAGAGATGGGGGGGGGGGCTGGATCCAAGCCCACTCTTCTTCTGTGACCTGGGACTGATCCCCGATGTGGCAAGCTGTCTCCCAGCTCGGGAGCTGACACACCTTGCCAGGGACACCCTTGTCATTCTGAGATACAGAGTCATCGTTTCACTGCATGTGTCAAACACTGACGTAGCACTTACTCAGGACCCGGCGTGGTGACAGATTTCCACACCTGCTCAGTCAGTCCTTGGGATGACCTCCTGCCTGAGGGGGGTGCTGCGGTTGAGCTCACTTTACTGATGAGGAAGCTGAGGCACAGAGGGCTGACGTCACTCATCCCGCTTGGATCCGAACCTGCTTTCAACATCTCCTAGTGCATGGTACCCGCATACTCCACAGTGGCTCGGGTGGCCAGTCCCCATACTGGTGGCTCATCACAGCCCCTGGACAGCTTTTAAAGGCCAGTCCCTAGAGAGAAATCAGAAGCTCGGGTGCCATTTTTCTTTCTTTAAAGATTTTATGTATTTATTTTTAGAGAGAAGGGAAGGGAGAGAGAAAGAGAAAAAGGGAAACATCAATGTCTGGTTGCCTCTCATGCACCCCCTACTGGGGATCTGGTCTGCAACCCACGCATGCGCCCTGACTGCAAATCGAACTGGTGACCCTTTGGTTCGCAGGCTGGCGCTCAATCCACTGAGCCACACCAGCCAGGACCAAAGATCGCTGGTTTGATTCTGATCAGGGCACACACCTAGGTTTCGGGTACGACTCCCGATCAACGTTTTTCTCTCCTACCATCTCTCTAAAAATCAACGAGCAGGTCCTTGAATAAGATTTTTATAAAATTGTAATAAAAAAGAGAGCCACTGATCTCAAAACAAACCAGGAAGACTTCACACCACAAACGTCGAGCCCAGTGGTACTCAGCCAGGGGCAATTTTGCCGGACTTGGTATGTACCCTGACTGGGAATCGAACCCACAGTTTTTTGGTGTACGGGACAATGCCCCAACCAACTGAGCCACACCGGCCAGCACCGGAAGTGGGGCATTTTATACAGGCCAATATGGCAGGCTCTTTGGCTCCTCAGATGGGGGAGAGTGATGGGAAAGAGCTACACAAGTCGGGCCTTTCTCTGGACGTATGAATGAAGATCTGGGTGTGTCAGCCCATTAAAAGCACAACTGTGGCCCTGGCTGGTGTAGCTCAGTGGATTGAGCGCGGGCCTGTGAACCAGAGGGTTGCGGTTCGATGCCCAGTCAGGGCACATGCCTGGGTTGCAGGCTGGTTCCCAGCAGGGGACGCACAAAGGGCAACCAGACATTGATATTTCTCTCCCTCTCTCCTTCCCTTCCCCTCTAAAGATAAATAAATAAAAACACAACTGTGAACAGACATGGGACTCGAGTTAAGGACAGGCTGCTGCAGGACTGACGGGTGAAGTGTACTGCCTTCTGCCTCTCACTTGGAAATGTACCACAAAGTCCTGTGCCTGCTGAGATGTCGGGATTTATAAGATGTGTTTGTTCCTTATCCCCATTTCTGGCACAGAGCCCCTGAAGCCCTTGGAATTTCCTAAGTGGTAAGAGTGATAAAGACGATGCTTACTCATAACAAACTTCTTTGTTAATGAGGTGACTTTCGGGAAGCACCTAAGGGTGGAGGCTGGTGGCCAAGGGAACCGACCACATGATTAAGGGGTTGGAATTTTCAGTCCCACCTCCGACCTTTCCGGGGTTGGGAGAGGGGCTGGAGATGGCCAGTGATTTCTTCAATCATGCCTATGTAGTGAAGCATCCATTAAAAAAACAAAACAAAAAAATCCAGCCCTGGCTGGTGTGGCTCAGTGGATTAGGCATCGGCCTGTGAACTAAAAGGTGGCTGGTTCAATTCCCAGACGGGCACGTGCCTGGGTTGTAGGTCCCCAGTAGGGGGCGCTCCAGAGGCAACCACACAGGGATGTTTTTCTCCCTCTTTGTCTTCCTCCCTTCCCCTCTCTCTAAAAATAAAAAATATCTTTTAAAGAAACAGGGTTCCAGAGCTTCCGGATTGGTGGACACCTGGAGACTGGGGAGAGCGGCCGGCAGAGCACGTGCAAGCTGCGCCCCCCTTCCCTGCACCTGGCCCTGTGCGTCTCTCCCGCGTGTCTCTTCCTGAGTTCTGTCCTCTTACCATCAACCAGTAACCCAGTCGGTAATGCGTGTGTCTGCTTCTGTGAGCCGCCCTCGCAAAGGAATCAGACCCGAGGCAGCGGTTGTGGGAACCTCCAGTCCGCTCTTCAGAAGCCCAGGGGGTGACCACGTGGCCGAGCCCTCCCCCAGCCTGTGGGGCCTGACGCTGGGGGCAGGTGAACAGTGTCAGAACCGAGATGAATTGTAGGACCGCCCCCACCCCGCTAGCTTTGGGGGGTCGCTTGGTGCGGGGGGGGGGGGGAGGGACCCCCGCACGCGGGAGCCAGGACGGGTGCTTGAATGTCACGTGCCCACTGGAGAGGCGCCAATGGGCAAGGACTGGACCTAGCGGAGCGGTCGGAGCTTCCGTCGCGCTGGTGCTGCGAGGGGCTCAGCCTGGTTTGGGGAGCAACCGGTCTCTGACCAAGTTAGACACACACTCACGCGACCCAGCCATCGCACTGCGGGGTGCTTACCCGGGAAAACGAGCGCATCACGCTCACGCGAAGGCTTGGACACGTGTTCACAGCTGTTGTGTTTGTTCCAATCGACCCGAGCGCCGGAAACGGGGGAGGGGGTCGGCCCCCTGCGGCGCGTTCGGACCGCGAAATACCGCTCGCCTCCCAGGAGAATGAGGTGAGGAAGGGCGCCGCGATGTGGACGGACCTCAAAATAATTCTGAACCAAAGAAGCCAGAGAAAAAAATAGAATGTTCTATACGGTTCCATTTATAGAAAAGCCTAGAACATGCAGACTAATTACCCTGGCAGAAAGCAGGTGGGTAGGTGCCTGCGGAGGGGAGAGGAAGGAGGAATTACAAGGGCGCACTGGAGACTTTAGGGGGGACGCCCTGTTCACCATCTTGGTTCTGGTGATGGCTTCATGGGGGTGCACATATGTCAAAGCCTAACAAATTGGCCCTGGCTGGGTAGCTCAGTTGGTTGGAGCATTTTCCTGATATGTCAAGGTTGCAGGTTTGATCCCCGGTCAGGGCACATACAAGAACCAACCAATGAATGGTCACTAACTGGAATGACAAATTGATGTTTCTCTCTCTCTCTCTAAAATAAATACCTTTTTTTATGTTTACTTACTTATATACTTTTAGAGAGAAGGAAAGGGAGGGAGAAAGAGAGGGAGAGAAACATCAGTGTGTGGTCGCCTCTTCTGCGCCCCCTACTGGGAACTTGGCCCGCAGCCCAGGCCTGTGTTCTGACTGGGAACCGAACCCGAGACTCTTTGGTTCCACAGGCTGGTGCTCAATCCACTGAGCCACACCAGTCAGGGCGAAAAGCAATAACTTTTTAAAAACTTACCCAATTGAGCACTTGCAAATATGTACAATTTAGTTTATATTAATTATACCTCCATAAAGCCAGAAATAAAAAAAAGGAAAACAAACTAAGAACTGAATGCTTTCAAAACCACACCGTGTACTTTAGGAGAATGGGTTTTATTATCTGGAGTCACTGGATTTTCTGTCAATGAGACTTCAATAAACGTGACTTGTAAAAATAAGATGAATATAAACTCACTACCGATAAAGGAGCCCTGGTGATTTTCTGCCTTATCACCCTGATTAGAAACCGCAATACCATATTATGAACTTCCGGGCGGCCGAGGGACTAGATTTTATTGTTCCCACCACAAATCTCGATAACGGGAGGTGATTCCGCTGGTGGCCAGCCCCGGGTGCCACCCAAGGGCCATATACAGATGTTTCAAGGCAACATGCTGTTCAGTCCAAGGGCAGCCAACTTTCTGGCGTCTCTGGGCCATGCTGGAGGAAGAGTTGTCTTGAGCGACACATTAAAATACATTGCCACATGTGCTCACAAAAAACAACCTCATCGTGTTTTAAGTACATTTGCGATTTTGCGTGGGGGGCTGAATTCACAGGCATCCTGGGCCGCATGGGGCCCGAGGGACACCCCTGCCTGCAGGGTAAACTGCACGGTATTGTATGTCAACTACCTGTTCCTTTTTTTTAAAAGACTTTATTTATTTGTTCTTAGAGAGGGGTTGGGGAGGAGAAAGACAGAAAGAAACACCGATCAGTTTCCTCTCGTCCGCCCCCAACCCGGGACCTGGCCCGCAACCCACGCAAGTGCCCTGACTGGGAATCGAACTGACGACCTTCCAGTCTGCAGGCTGGCGCTCAATCCACCGAGGCACAGCAGCCAGGGCACCTTTTCTTTTTGAAAGTGGATGGATAGACCCTGGGCACCTCTTCACCTGGCTCTTCATCACTATCCTTTATCTCGTCCCTTGTGATAAACTCGTAAATGTAACTACAGTATTTCTTTGAGTTCTGTGAGTTGCCATAGCCGGTGACTGAACTCGAGAAAGGGGTCATGGGAATTCCCGATTTGCAGCCAGTTACAGGGGAACAGGTGTCTGCGGTGGGGGGCAGTCTTGTGGGACAGAGCCCCCAGTCGGTGGGGTCCCGGGTCACTCGGGCAACTCTGGTCACTCCAGGGTGTGTCAGGATCAAACTGAATTGTTGGGCACCCAGCTGGTATCTGGAGACTTGGAGAACTGGTTGGGGGACTGGAGGGTGGGGGGGGTGGAGGTCAAGACAACCCACACCTTTGGTGACAGAAGTGTTTGTTGTGAGTGGAGCCCTTAGGACTGGTCCAAGGGCTTAGGACGGTTATGGCTCAGAGGTCAGGTGGTCTGGGTGGTGGGTGCGTGGAGTTCTGGTCCTGTCTAGTGTCTTGATAATAGATGTCATGGGGTCTGGCTCTGTGGGTCCCTCAGGGGGTAACCAGAGGGCTGTCTGGAGGTCTGATATCTCTCTCCAGGCATGGACGCAGGGCTGGGAAGGGCAAACATTTAAGTTCCCAGGCTAGTTCATCCAGGAATAAAATCATATCCTTTATACCTCCACCTGCCTGATTTCAGTAATTTAACAGCCTGACCGCAGTGGCTTCATTCCTCAGTCTCGTTCCCACATCCACTGTCCTGTCCCCCCACTCCCCACCCCTCCCGCAGCCCCCTGTCTCAGTGTTTTGGGCGCTCCCCGGGCCCTGGTGGCCTCCTTCTGTCCTCACCACCTGTGGGTAGCTGAAGAATGGCCCCCAACAGGGCCCTGCCCCCCAGAAGCCCTTGTTTTTAGCTTTGGATGTTAATGTGTTTTTCTTATTTACTCATCTTTAGAGGGGGGAAGGGAAGATAGGGGGGAGGGAAAGGAGAAAGAGAGGGAGAGAAATATCAATGTGTGGTTGCCTCTTGTGCGCCCCCTGCTGGGAACTGGCCTGCAACCCAGGCATGTGCCCTGACTGGGAATCGAACCGTGATCCTTTGCTTCACAGGCCCCTGCTCAATCCACCGAGCCACACCAGCCAGGGCTAGAAAGCTTTAAATATGTGGCTAATATATAGGCAAAAACTTCAAGGACACACACGCACACCCCACAGATGAGACTGTGTCCTCGGGAGTGGCCGAAGGACTGTCTCTACAGACAGTAAAGGGGCAAGATTCTCCCCCGGGGTTCCTCCTGCAAGAAATAACCAGCAGTAGCTCTTTCTTTTTCTCCAAAAGACATTTTGGGAAACAAAAAATTACAAAGAAAAAAAAACCCCTATAAATCATGATTCCACCAGCCAAAGATAAGCGATGATGAACATTTTAGGATGTTCAGTTTTCGGTATTTTTCTTTGCAGTCGTTTTTTTTTACACAGTTGAAATTTTATATGTAGACTTTTTCCTTTTTCGTCCTTTGCTTTTTCTTAGCATAATACATATAAATTTCCCAAGCCATCGGGAAACTATAAATATCCTAACTCTATAAACATCGTTTTCAGTGGCTATATCAGCCTTTATCATATGGTTTTATAACACTTCCTCTAATTACTGTTTGGTTTTCCACACCGCCTATGTATTTTTAGATACAGCCATATTTTACCTTTAAATGTCAGATTTGGCCCTAGCAGAGGGAGCTCAGTGGGTAGAGTATCACCCCACATCGCCAAGATTTTGGGTTCGATACAATCCCTGTTCAGGGCACATGGAACAAGCCACCAATGAAAGCATAAACAAGTGAGACCACAAATTGATGTCTCGCTCTCTCTCAAATCAATAAATGAAAACATTTTTAAAAGATTTTATTTATTTATCTTTAGAGGGGAAGGGAAGGAGAGAGGGAGAGAAATATCAATGTATGGTTGCCTCTCATGGGTCCCCCACTGGGAACTGACCTGCAACCCAGGCATGTGCCCTGACTGGGAATCGAACCGCGATACTCTGGTTCACAGGCCTGCGCTCAATCCACTGAGCTACACCAGCCAGGAATAAATGAAATTTTTTGTAAATTCAGATTTATACCATTGCGCTTTAGTGCTTTGTCCTATGCCTCTCAGGCTTAAAGGGAAGTCCTAAGCCAAGATTTTCTGGACGGTCTCTATGGTAGTCTGCGAGCTTCCTAAATTCCCACGGACTAATCCTGTCTTGACGATAACGAAGATGATGATGGTGACGATGAGGATGATGGTTATTGTGGTAGCATTCTGACCCACTTATTTCCAGGTTTTATCTTTGTAAAATGGTGCTGTTAGTCCCTGCTTTTCTTTCTCACTTTCCTATGGATATTTTATGTTGACGTGGTACAATATGCATTTAAGCATACACACGTATAGTTCATTGGCCTGTGTGTAGAATTTCCTCTGCATTATGTATGCACACATATACAGACGCAAACATACACAGAGAGGATAATACTGTGTGTCATTTTTTAAAACTGATTCTTCCTTATTCATTTGCTTTTATTTTTTTCCACTTTATTTTGTAACTTTATTGATTTGAGAGAGAGAGAGGGGGATACATCGATTTGTTGTTCCACTTACTGATGCATTCATTGGTTACCTCTTGTATGTGCCCTGACTGGGGATCGAACCTGCAACCTTGGTGGATCTGGCCAACATTCCAACCCCTTGAGTTACACAGCTGGGCTTTGCTTGTCATTCTGTATCCTGTGGTTTTACACGTGATTTGAAGCACAAACAACCACTTGCCAAGATGTGTCATGCTCTTTGTAAACACACTTTCCACGCCTGCCCCAGAGTCTGCGGGGACTGGACTGGGCTTCCCGGTCCCCTGCTCTTGGGCATTTGCTTCGTTTCCGCATTTTACTGGGATTATCTCGTGTGTGCATTTTGGTTCGGTGCCCCCATCTCCAGGGCCGAGTGCCCGATCGGTCAAAAGAAGTAACCTTTTCGCTCTGCAAATGCTTTTCCTTCTTGGTGCTTCAGTCAAATC